GCTCCTCCCAGCCTGGCTCCAGGTGTGATCTGACCCATCACGGGCCATGTGCCCCCACCCGTCCACATCTGGGCAGGGAAAGGGCACTGGGATAGGAGCCGAGACCCAGGTACCCTGAGCGGTGACCTCGGGCTCTGCCTGTCAGCATCGCACAGTTCCCTTTCAGAAGCCCCTCCGCCTTCCCCTTCAGGGAGAAGGCCTCTGGGAAAGCAGAGGGATGGAGAGCTCATCAGCATCTCCTGGGACGGCTGAGGTGAGGACACAGGTCCTACGGTCCCCGGTGAGTTCAGAGTACGGTGGAAGTCAGGGTTGGAAGTGGCCTCCGATGAACCATCTCAGCCAATGCGCTCCTTTTGGTTTGTGGAAGTGGGGCCCAGAAAGGGTGAGTGTCCTGCCCAAGGCCGCACAGCCGGTTAGGGAGGGCTGGGGCATACCCCGGAATCTCAGTGTAGGGCTATAGAAGCCACGGCAGTCCCGTTGTCAAGGAGGACCGTGGCATGGGTTGGGGGGCAGAAAGCTACTCCCAGGTCCACTACACCAAGCTCATGCTGCTTCCCCTAGCTCGGATCTATTCCCTCTCTACCTGTAATCCTCAGTGGTTTCCTGCTGTGCCGAAAGACGACCCACATTCTCCCTCCATGACCTAATCTCCTCCACGCTCCGGCTGCTTGACGTACCTCAGCTGCTGGTCCTAGGAGGCCCCCGGCATAGGCCCACGCAGGGCCTTTGCATCTGCGGCTCTTTCTGCCTGGAACACTTTCCCCCCACTTTCCCATGGTGGGCTCCCCATCTTCACGCTCCCTCTTCAGAGAAGCCTTCCGCCATGCCCCCTGGCTAGAGAAGCCCCTCCCCCCAGTCCCCATCATCCCATCATCATCCCATCACCCTGCTTTATGGTCTTGCTAGCACTTACCATTATCCTAATTATCTTGTACATGGGCCTTGTTCATGGCCGTGTCCCAGCATCCCCCAGTATCTGACAATGGGCATGTAGAGAGTGCCCAATTCATCTTATTAAATTAAATTTGAGCCCTAACCGGTTTGGCTCAGTGGATAGAGCGTCGGCCTGCGGACTGAAGGGTCCCAGGTTCGATTCCGGTCAAGGGCATGTAACTTGGTTGCAGGCACATCCCCAGTGCGGGGTGTGCAGGAGGCAGCTGATGGATGTTTCTCTCTCATCCATGTTTCTAACTCTCTATCCCTCTCCCTTCCTCTCTATTAAAAAAAAAAAAAAATCAATAAAATATATTTTTAGAAAATAAAATAGCCAAAACCGGTTTTACTCAGTGGATAAAGCGTCGGTCTGTGGACTGAAAGGTCCCAGGTTCGATTCCGGTCAAGGGCATGTACACTGGTTGCGGGCACATCCCCAGTGGGGGGTGTGTAGGAGACAGCTGGTCGATGTTTCTCTCTCATCGAAGTTTCTAACTCTCAATCTCTCTCCCTTCCTCTCTGTAAAAAATCAATAAAAAAATATATTTTTTTAAATAAAGTAAAATAAATCAAATTAATTAAATTTGATTGAAAGAAGCACAGACATATCCTGTCACCGAAGCCTAATTCCACCTCCCACCTCCCTTCCCCACCCCCACCAAAACCTGCTGCGTGTCCTTAGGCAAGTACCTTTTCCCTCGCTCTGGGCCCCAGTTTCCCCTTCTGAGAAATGGAGCTCCCACTCCCGCCAGGCTGGCTGGCAGGGTAGGCTGGCTGAATTAGCATCAGCGTGGTTGGATGGGTGTGAACGCTGCTTTGTAAACTGTTAAAGCGTGATTGCAAATGTGAGTAGCTGTTGTCATTAGACAAATGAAGCCTCAGCAGCCTCTTCCTCCACAGAGGACAGCGTTGGGTCAGCCGCTCGCTGGGGGCCTCCCACCCTGGCCGGTACAGCTCTGAGCGGGGCACTGCCTTCAGGGAGCTCGCCATCTGCGGGGGGCGGTGGAGATAAGATGCAAATCGAAATAAGCTGGGACACCGGCAATGGGCCGTTCTTCAGGAAACAGATAATAAGTGCAAATAGTCGGAGAGGGGGGTGAGGCCCGCGTCAATTAAAGCTCCTGGTAGGGGGCAGGGTAAGGTCCAATCCGAGCCAGTTAGAGCGGAGAGGGCAGCCGGGCGAGTGCACAGGCCGTTGCCACAGAGACCGGTGCGGAGGGACCTGGACAGACTGCAAAACCCAGTCACCCGCCTATAGGGTCCCAAAGGGAATAAAATGACGTTTAGGGAGGGAGAGATGGGAGAGGGGAGGGCCGTATTTCACTGATACCATCATTTTCCTTTTTAGTCCGTTCAAAGCCCATAATGCTGCGTGAGTGGCTTCTGTCTTCAGGCTCAGTTTTCTTATCTGTGAAATGGGAACATGGGAAGTGCATGAAATGATTCATTCCTGGGAAGCACCAGGGCATCAGCATCGGGGGGTGGACAGGCCTGGTGTCTAACTTACCTGGTCCTCAGTCTCATCATCTGAAAAAGTCAGCACTTATATCTCATAGAGTTGAAAGACCAAGGGGGGGGGGCAATGTAAAAAAATACACAACTTCATTTATTTTGTAATATAATTATTGATTTCAGAGAGGAAGGGAGAGGGAGAGAGAGATAGAAACATCATCGATGAGAGAATCATTGATCAGCTGCCTCCTGCACACCCCAGAATGGGGATGGAGCCCGCAAACTGGGCATGTGCCCCGACCGGGAAATGAGCCATGACCTCCTGGTTCATAGGTCAACCCTCAACCACTGGGCATGCCAGCCGGGCAAAAACCCCACAATTTTATGATTGGGAAAAACTTTATAATAGAAAGGGGGACAATGGATAAACAAAGCTTAGTCGAGTGGCACGTATCAGATCCTTAATGAGTGCCACGGCTGTTCGTATAGTTTGAGTCAATGGAGGGTGGTTCCACTGTGGTTGGATCGTAGCAAGGACGGGGAGATAGAACCAGCGGAAGAGCTGAACCCACCTAGCACATAGTAGGTGCTCCCGAAATAGTCCTCAAATTGGGAAGAGGTTGGGCGCCTGGATGTTGGCACTGGTGAGCACAATAGCTTGGAGCCGCTCTGCCCAGGAGAGTGAGTCTTACCCCAGGATGGGTCAAGCTCAGGGTTTCAAACTGGGATTGCCTGGAACGTCTGAGAAGCAGGAACTGAAAACAAAGGCAGTCCACAGAAAATGATCTTTTTGTTGTTGTTGTTGTTGTTAATCCTCACTCAAGGATGTTTTCCCAGGGACTTTTAGGGAGAGTGGAAGCGAGAGGGAAAGGCTGAGAGAAGCATCGATGTTTGATTGGTTGGTTGCCCCCCCCCCCTGCCTGCAACCAAGGTACGTGCCCTTGACCGGAATCGAACCCGGGACCCTTTGGCCCACAGGCAGACGCTCTATCCACTAAACCAAAGTGGCTAGGGCCTCAGTGGACCTTGACAATAGTCAAGGAGGAATGTGTAAGCTTAAAGGGGGGAGGGGGACACACGGAATCCCCTTCATACCCCCTTTTCCCTCTCTCTGTTCCCTTCTGCTCAGCCTCCTTCCCAGAAAAGTCTGTCCCAGCTTTTGAGGTTCACTTCCTCCCGGGGGCCTTCCAGGAGGGCACCCATGTCAGTTGGATTCTTGGAGCCTCAAAGGGTGACCCAGTTTTCCAAACCTTAGATGGAGTCTCCACGTCCCACACCCCTTTTCTTGGTGTGGACTGTAGGGGGGGCGGAGAGAGGGGGGCGAAGGGAGGGATGGCAGAGCTAGTTCCATAGTTTGTGGGACAAAGGGTCAGGCCCAGGCGGAATCTAAACCGCCTGCACCTCCGCCGGGCGCTCACACCCACTCCGTAGGGTGGGCAGCTCCCTGCGAAGGCTTGTTTGTCAGGAGGGAGGCTCCCCAAGGCCAGGGGCCCTGCGAGACGATTCCCCAAGGCCCTTGGCGGCCCGCCTCCCACCCGGCCTCCGCACAGCCCGTTAATGATGATGGTGATGAAGGCTGTCAGAGCAGGGCCAGGCCTGCAGGGGTGGAACAAGGGGCTGTGTCCTCCCTGAAGGGACAGCCATGCACAAAACCATGGCCGCACAGACAGGTCCGTTCCCTAGGTGGCGAGGAGGAGGGCTCCCCCAGATGCCCCCCATTAGCCTCATTTACCCCCCAAAATTGCAACGGAAGAAGATGAACAGAGGAGAAATCCAACAGACACATAGAAGGGTCTGCAGGGAGGGTTCCTGCTCTGGCTCTGACTCAGGCGGGAGGGTGGGTCTGTCAGCCCCACCCCCACCCCCGCACACACCCCTCCATCACCCCCACCCCCACGCCAGCTGCAAGAGTGACCCCTCGGGCCCCGCAGTAGCGCCCAGGCCCACTCTCCCAAGCGGAGGCCCCAGCCCAGTCCCAGCGCCTGGGAAAGCCGCCTGTTTTGTTCCCATCTCCACTCCCCCCACCCCTCTTTTTTTTCTCATTCATTGCAGTCCTGTCCCTTTCTGAGCCGCAGGGACCTGGCGGCGGGGCGGAGGTGCGGGGCGGCCCTCCCGGCCCTGACAGGTAGGGTCCGCGCCCGCTTCGGGCAGCCCCTTCCTCCACCCGCCCCCCCCCCCCCCGGGTCCCCTCTCCCTGCGCCCCTGTCCGCCGCGCCAGACGCTCCCCGGCTTTGCAGCATTCAATAAAAATTCAGAAACATTTGGGCTGAAATCGCTGCTTTATCTGGAGGAGCCACAGCGCCGGGAGAGACCACTGCGGCGCGGGGGGGAGCCCGGTGCCGCCGGCGCCCGAGCGCCCGGGGTTTCCGCGCTCCGGAGCCCGCGCCGCCTGCGGGGGGCCCTGCGGGCGCGGGGCCCCGGGGCCCCGGGGAGGGGCGCGCGGCCAGCGGGGGTGCGGGGCGCGCAGGGGGGCGGCGGCGCGGCCGGGCTCCCCCCGCGGCCGCGGTTCCGGTGGGCGGCGCCCGGCGCTGGCGGAGCCGGGGTCCCCGCTCCGCCCGGGCTGGATGGCTCATTCTGCTGGCTGCGCGGCGGCGGCGGCGGCTGTGTGTGCGCCGGGCCCCGCCGCTCCCCGCCGGCCCCCCGAGCCCGGGGCGCGCGCTCTCGCCCGGGCCGCCCGCGCCCCGCGGAGCCGCGGCCCGAGGCGCGGGGAAGCGCAGCCATGGCCCTGCGGCGGCTGGGGGCCGCGCTGCTGCTGCTGCCGCTGCTCGCCGCCCTGGAAGGTGAGCGGGCGATGGGGGCGGGGAGCGGCCGGGCACGGGCGGCCGCCGGCGCCCACCCTCGCCCCCGCGGCCCCGCGAAGTTTGCCCCGCGGCCGGGCGGGCGCAGGTGGCCGCCGCGGGAGGGAGGTGTGTCCGGCCGGCCGCGCGGGGAGGCGCGGGCCCCGCGGGCGCCCGCGGAGCGGCGGGCGCGGATGGACTGTGCCAGGAGGGGGCGAGGGACCATCTTGCCGCCGAGGCTTTGTAGCCAGCCGGGCGAGCGCCGCCCAGGGCCCGGGGCTGCCCACGCGCGCCCGCCGCCCCGGCCCGGGCGCCCCCCGCGCGCCGGCCTGGCTTGGCTCGGCACCGGGTGGAGGGAGCGCCGGCCCGGGGGTGGGGGCCCGACGCCCAGCCGGGGCTGGAAAGTTTGGCAGGGAGCAGAGGGAGGGAGGGAGGCGCCGCGGCTGGCCGGGTGGGGGCTCCGGGTCCGCGCCCCCCGCGGGATGGGGTGGGCGCCCCGAAAAGCGGGGACCGGCTGGCAGAGCGCAAGGGAGCGAGCGCGCCGGCCCCGCGCGTCCGTCCGTGCCCGCCCGTCGCCCGCGGCGTACAATGGGGTCCCCTCCCAGGGAGGACTGGCGGGGGGATGGGTCCGTGGGCATCTCTCCCTGCGCGGGGGCTCCGGGCACCCCTGCGGGCCACCGCCCAGCATGGCCACAGGAGCCCGGGAACTTTCCAGCTGCCGCCAGGGCCGGGCCAGATGCTCCTGCCATGTGTTGGCCTTGGCCAGGGTCGCGGGCCATCATCTCCCCACGGAGCCGCGGACCCCCAGAGGGACAGGCGGGCGGGCTGGCTGCCAGGCCCCCTGAGCCAGCCGCTGCCCCCGGAGGGAAAGTTCGTGGGGCCTGGGTGTGCCCACCAGGAATGGCCGAGCCTGTGGGGGCAAGCCGTGGAGATGAATAATGGCTCTCGTGTGTGCAGCACTTCGCGGTCCTCCCCGCGCCTCGCAGTGTATGGAGTACTTCGCACTCCACGCAGCTCTCTGTGGTTTGCACCGCGCCGCACGGTTGACAAGGCACTTTGGCCGGACAGAGTGCGTTCCCACCCACAGCTGGGTTCCATTTCCCCAAATCCGTTTCTCTCCACCCCCCAGAAGCCGGGTGAGGATGATTCCTGCTCCCTTGGACGGGGTGGGCAAACAAACCTAGGCTCAGCGTCGGTGGGTGGCCAGAAAGGAACCCGGGGCTGAGGTCTGCAGCCTGAACTCCCTTCACGTTGTCGCTGCATCCTCTTGTTGCTAAACCCTTCCTGGGATTCTGCCTCCACGGGCTGAGGGCTGAAGCACATGCACACACGTCTGTGTCTCTGTCCCGTGGGCTAGGACGTAGCTCTCATCCCCTCTTGCAACGCCAAGTCAAAAACAAACAAAAAAATCCAACCAAAAAACAACAAAACCCCCAAACTCAGAACAGGTAGGATAGGCCTGGAGGGATGGCTCAAATGCGGTGGGGGAGGTCATGATATAGCTTCAGTTTCTCTCTCAGCCATGAGCGCTTTGGTGACCATAGTTCAAGGGGCCACGGGGTGACCCTGGACGGCAGCCACGGGTTCTGGCTCCCGGAGGTTCGGAGGCCGCCTGCAGGTTTCCGGAGCTGGGCCGCTGGGGCTCCAGGGTGCCGGGGGGGCCCTGGGTGTGGAGGGCAGCCCCGGTCCCGGCTGCTGGCGGAGGTACCACTTATTAACGCTGGCTTTGGGGAAATGACTCATGCGTTGGCCCACTATACGTTGGGATGTTTACAGTATTATGGGGAGCTTGGCATAAATATTGCTATGTAGGTTGCAGTCAGCGGTGCTGGAGGGGAGGAAAATTGGCCCCTCTCTCGTTGGAAGAAGCCTGGGCGTGTTTTTAATTACCGTGGGGTGGATGGAAGGGCCACGTCTGTCCGGCCATGGTTTGGCAGGGAGCAGTTAGTATCTGGTAGGCTGCGGCCAGGCCGGACCCTGGGCCCTGGACCTGGGGCTGGTCGACTACTGACGTACCAGGAGTGGGGGAGGGCTGCTCAGGCTGCCACTTGGGGACAGGGTGGGCGGAGGGCTGTAGTGGGACCCCACACCTCATTGCAGGCTCTCCCTTTGCCCCCTGGTCACTAAGGAGTCTGGTCCGTTAGGGGTTAACAAGGAGCTGACCACATGGGTTCGGAGATGGTATGAGGTGGAGGTCGGGGGCCTGCTTCTGATTTCCCATAGGATCCTGGGCCATCTCCCTTCCCTATAGAGGCCTCCCGGGTGTAAGATGATCCCTCTAATCTCTTGGGGTTCCATCCTATGCCCCCGACGTCCCCTCGCTGAGCCTCAGTTTCCTCGTCTGTCAAGCGAGGGTGATCATGATGCCCATCCTGCCTGTCCTCTCACGCGGGTGCTTGTGAGGTTCAGACCAGATGCTGAGCGGGGGAAAGTCCACCTCGAAGGCCCGTGTGAGGCCCGTGGGGGTGGAAAGATGCGGAGGGGCAGCGCTGGCACATCCCCAAAGACACCCGGGTCCCCCCAGGAGCAGCACAGACTGTGGAAACAGGAGGAAGCTTGGGGTGGTGGGAGGGCAGCCCCTGGGCCTCCCCGTACCCAGCGACAGGCGGCCACCACTTCCTCCCCGCCCCCTCCTGTGCCCTGCGGTGACAGGCTGTCCCGAGCCTAAGGTCCTCGGCAATCCGCAGCCTTGGGCCTGTGAGAGGAGAGAGGGGGTATGTGTTGGGGTGGGGGAGTCCTGGGTTAGGATGTCGAACTTAGTATCTCCCCCAAACCACGGCCCCCTCCCAGGGGAAACACATGTCTAGAGCATCTAAAGTGGGGGCTTTGATGAAACCGGTTTGGCTCAGTGGATAGAGCGTCGATTTGCGGACTGAAAAGTCCCAGGTTCGATTCTGGTCAAGGGCATGTATCTTGGTTGCAGGCACATCCCCAGTAGGGGGTGTGCAGGAGGCAGCTGGTTGATGTTTCTCTCTCATCGATGTTTCTAGCTCTCTATTCCTCTCCCTTCCTCTCTGTAAAAAAAAAAAAAAAAAAAAAAAAAAAAAAAAAAAAAAATCAATAAAATATTTGAAAATAAAAAATAAAGTGGGGGCTTTGAGAAGGATGCGAGTGCCCAGGGGACACAGCCGGCACAGAAGAGGCCGGCGACAGACCAACCACCCGATGGAATCCAGAGGTTGATGTTCAGAGAAAATCGGGTGTCCTCTGTGCTTTTGCTCTCCACGGTTTTCTGGAGCCTTCCTCTCTGGCTGGCCCGGCGCTGGACCCTGGAGCAGGCAGGGGAAATGCTGATAGGGAAAGCAGTTGGCAAGATCTAAAGTGTAACCGTGTGCCAGGGTGTTGCCAGGAGGAAGCTGTGAGCCACCTGGGGCAGCAGAGGCGGTTTGGGAGGCAAGAGGGCTGTTCCGCCTTTTATGGCTCTATCATGTGCCTTGTTTTCTCACTGCCGTTCGCCCTGGGATGACGAAACTTTCCCAGCCACCTGTCACACTAACGGACTGTGCTTTCGGAGTGAAGGAGGTTGACTTTGGGGCTTGGGTAAGGTGACCAGACGTCCCACTTTTGGCGGTACAGTCCTGATTTTTAACAATTTGTCCCGCGGCCCGCGGCGTTTTAAAAAAGTCCCAATTTTTTGGCAAAAAATCGGGACTTTTTTAAAACATCGTGGGACAAATTGTTAAAAATCGGGACTATCCCGCCAAAAGCAGGGCATCTGGTCCCCTTAGACTTGGGGGAGAGGAGAATTTTGCCCAGAAAAAGAAACTGCGTGTAAAGACGTGGAGGCGTGGTGGTGGGGTCCTCACCTGAGTGTAGCTGAGGACATCTGTGCAGAGGGAGGCAGTGGGAGGACAGGAGGGCAGGACAAGTCCTGAAGGGCTGGGATGGAGGGAGAAGGAGTTTGGACTTGATGCTGAGGGCAGTGGGGAGCCATGGAAGGTTCTTGAGCCATGGAGGGACCTGGCCTGGTACGTGTTTGCAAAAAAAACACACAAAAAACACCAGCTTTCAGTGCGTGGGATGTTCGGATGGGCCGGACCCGCTCCTGCACTCTCCAGAAAAGGCCGGCCTGTCTGCTCCCGGCCGGGCTGTGAGCTCTCAGAGGAGGATCCTCTGCCTCGTTTTTTGTGTCCATGGTTGTGGTAGAAAGAGCTCAGCTCCAAGGCCACCTCCCCAGAGGCCCTCCCTGATTGCTTCCTGAAGCAGACCCAGTTCTGCCACTTTCTGTCCTGCCTACTTTGGCTGGCTTCGTCACACCCACCGCCGCCCGAAACACAGCAGAGGCGTGTGAGCATCCTTGTTCTGTGTCTGCCTCGCCCACCAGACCGGACACGCCGGGAGGGAAGTGGTGCTTGCCTGCCATGCTGACTGCGGCGTTCCCAGTACCTCGAGCTGTGCCCGGTCACCTGAGCACCCCGTCACTGAAGGACGAGTGAGCTGAGGCGCGTTGAATGAATGGAATGTTGAGCGGACGAATGAGTGGATGTACCCTGTTTTCCCCAAAATTAAGACAGTGTCTTATATTAATTTTTTCTCCCAAAGTTGCGCTAGGTCTTATTTTCAGGGGATGTCTTGTTTTCGGGGAAACACGGTATTATATTGTGTCCCACGGTATCAGGAGAATGACCCACACACAGAGGGAGGGCCCATCTGGCCGGGGAGATGATGGAAACCTTCCTACAGGGAGAAGCCAGTGGATGGTTTGCAGGGAAGTGTTTGGGGGTGCTGGGTAGACCAGCTCAGCCAGAGCTAAGGATTCGAGGGGGCCGGCAGCAGCTAGGTACTGGACCAAGTCCCTTCCGTGTGGAGGTTGAGGGAGACTCCCTGTCCTCCTTCCGGCTCCTTCCCCCCCACCCCCACCCCAATCCTCCACCTCTACCTAAGGCCCAGCAACCTTCAGCGGGATTAATTTGGAACTGGTTTTCCTTTTATGTGTGTTTCTTCTGCTTCTCGTGTTTTATTTTATTTTTTTTAATATATTTTATTGATTTTTTACAGAGAGG